CCCCAAAACCCCAAAACCCCATGAAGGAAAATTAAATTAAGAATGATACTTAAATTAAATATTGGTTAATATAAAAATAAAAGAAAATACTTAGAGGCCTTTTCATTCTTTGACCATCAATCATTGATTCTTTGTAAGATTAATCTCAATATAGCATCAAATTCTTTGCTAGAAATTAATGACTAAATTTTAAAGATTTTTAATTGTAATTCTGAAATCTTCCAGTCCCCGTTTACTTGTTTTATCATAAGCAAATTTTTTGTTGTTTAAGTGAGGCTATAGCAAATTAAATAGTTATTCATAGTCCAAATTAATCGAGTTCTTCAATTAATTCAATTTAAACATTATTAGTTCATTCTAGTAATTTTGGTAATAAGATGTATTATCGATAAATTTCATAAATTTCTCTTTCAAATAGGGTATTGATGGTCTCAAATTAGGCTCCAATGTTGTCATTTCATCAAAGATTTCTTAAAATTTTGAGCATTATGGTGAAAGATCAATCTTGACATGATCCATCAATTAAATATTAATTGGATTCATATTTTGCTTTTCAGTGCCATGACATAAATAGTAAAGTAAAATTCCTAAAGACCAGATATCTACTGATTTATCATAAGGCTTAGATCTTAATACCTCTGGAGCCATATAATGAATCTTTCCTAACCGAGCTTCAGTTTATGAGCCGAATGATGCTATTCCAAAATCGCAAATCTTTACGATATTATTATCAAAAACTAGAATATTTTAGGGATTAATATCTCTGTGGATGAATCCTTTGCAATGTACTTCTTCTAAAGCTTCTAATAGCTGAATCATAATGGTTGAAATATCTGAATAATTCGTTTTTCCACTCTATTTTGTAAATTCAGCAAGATCATATTTAGCTAGCTCACTGACAATTATAAATTTGCTATCACTAGTAAGATATGAATCAAGTATTTCAACAATATTTGGATGCTTGAGTTGAAAAGTTGCTATTTCCCTCATAATTCTAAGTACTTCATTGGAAAGATCTTCACCTTTGCGAAAGTTTAAAATCGAGAGATCTTGTTGCTTTAAAGCAACAATTTTGTTATTTTTATCTTTCAAATCTTTGGCTTTAAAAACTGATGCATTTAACCCATGAGCAATTTGATCTAAAATTTTATATCCATCAGACGACTCTCTAATCTTTAGAGATATGTTTGCTGGTTAGTAAGTTAAATGATTACTTGATAATCTATATTATATATGCTTTAAATCCAATTAATTATCGCCTGCTATTGATTCTTTTCAATTTAATTGAGGAATTACAAGTTAAACTGTAGCAACTATTGTTTATAATTTTATTTAATTTTAGTTTACCATATATTTCTACATCATATCAATATATTTGTTAAAATCAGCTAGTAAACCATTGATATTACTCTACATTTCAATGCTTGTTTCAAGTTAATTATTCTAAAAGTGAAACTCTGAGTACTTTTTGAGTTATTACATTGAATTTCCAACACTTGATTTTACTTGATTGAAGTAGTAATTCATAACATAGCACTAATACTTATTATACTATTGTCTATCCTTAATCAGTTTAAGAAATTCTCCTTTCAACTCTTCAATTGTAGGTCTTAAATTAGGCTAAAATTATGTCATTTCATTGAAAATTTCTTGAAATTGAGAGTATTATTCTGGCAATCAAATTTTTAATTAGGGACCTTAAGGATTAGAAAGTACTCTGTTTACATCGATTAAATTTGCTTCTTTTTTAATTCGACATGTTCCCGTCATTAGATAGTAGAGTACAATTCCAAGTGACCAAATATCAACCTTATTATCATATTGTTTGCCATCTTTAAATTCTGGAGCCACATAACTTTCTTTACCAGTATAAAAACTATTAATCTCTCCGTAAAAATCAATATCAAAATCATCGATTTTAATAATGCTATCATTAAATACAAGTAAATTATCTGGTCATATTTTTCTGTGAATAAAACCACTATTATGGATATAATCTAATCCTTCTAGTAATTGGAGCATGATAAAAGCAATTTCAGAATTATTTAATGGTTTCTTCTCATTGTTGATTTTTCTGTTTATGAAATCTTTTAAATCAGATTCTGCTAACTCACTAACAGTAACAAGTTAAGCTTAGTTATTTAGATAGACATCTTCAATTTCCACAATATTTGGATGTCTCAACTTGTGTGATGCATTTACTGTCATGATCCTAAGTATTTCACGAGTAAATTATTCATTATCATTAGAATTCACGTATCTTGAGATTAATTATTTTCTAAGTGCTACTCTTCTCCTCCTCCCATTGATTCTTTAATGATCATCTATTTTTTCAGCTATTATAATTCTTCCAGACTAGCCTCCTAAGAATTTCATAATTTAATATCCATCATCATAAGTATCACGGATAGTCAATCCTAATCCAGTTGCAGCCATTATTTTTTGTTTAACTTTAAGTTATTGTATATTAAGATAGGGCATTAAATGAAATATTTTTTAATTTCTCTATAATTTATATTCCTTAATTTTAGATATATTTAACTATATGGGGTTTTGGGGTTTTGGGGTTTTGGGG